CTGGGTTAAAAATAAAGCAGTGCCACCAGGACATTTTGGCTCCACATGTCCTGCACCTCTGTCTGTGCCACCAGGTATCCCTTGCACTATCTGGATCTCCCTATAGCCCCTTTCTGGGGCAAGTCCTCTGCTGCCTATGAGCACTGCTGAGCTTCCACTGCTCCCAGGTCTCTGCCACCTAAACAGGCCACCTGTTTTCACAAAACTCAAGGTGAAGCATGGACAGAGACTCTCCAACTAATTAAAGTTAGAAAATGTATGTTTATTAATTACAATGCCAGGCACATGGGGAGTAACCTCCCAAAGACATGTGCAAAATTCACAGAGCTTCTGCTCTCTTTGTATCCACAAAAACCTTACATATTCATATAATTACCCAATATGCCTATACATATGCATTATCTAACCCTGCCTATGCCCACTGCATATTAAAATGAGTTGAAAGTCCTTTCATGCTTATGCAGTCCTTTCTTCAAAATGGGTCAGTGGGTTTTGAAATGGGTCAGTGGTCTTCTAAGATGAAGGCAGGAACGTCTTCCTCACATTAAATTTTTCACCTTTGTCTTCTTGGCAGACTCTCTGGTCCCTTGGCCATAGACCAAACTCCCCAACCTGGTTCTGGCTGGTTTTGGGGCCCAGGTGTAGTTACGGTTTCTTCATCTTTACAATACCCTATCCTCCCCATCCTGCTTCTACAAATACAACAAAGTCAAGCAAATGATACATTGTCTTAGCTCTAACTAGCTCCATCTGCTAATAATTAACCCTTCTACATTGCTTCTACTCTTCTTACTAAACTCTTATTACATATTGCTTCTATCCTCCTAGCTAAAGTCTTAATTCTTTGGTTCCTTTAAACCTTTGATTCAAAGGAATTTATTATTTTTATCTTGAGAGTGGTCAGAAGGCAGATGTGTTTCCCTGGGAAACAAGGCTAAGAACAGACCCGTAGTCTTCCATGTCTTTTGAGCAAAATAATTAATCTGGGAACTGCTGCGTTAGAGCACACCTTAATGTTGCTGAGGGAGGAGAAACCAGCTCCCAGTCACCTTCCACATTACTGTGGAAAGGTTAAAGACAACATTTAGTGAGATCTAAATCAATCAGGATCTGCGTTAGCATCAGTCCCTTTAGAAACATCTTGACACCCACTCTGCCAGCAAAGACCAGCAAAGCATTTGTGCTCCCTTACTAGCCCAGCAAACCCCAGTCACAGTAGTAATATACTGTAAGCCTTTCCAATCCTTTGACAGTTCTACATTAGACTGTTTTAAAAGGGCCAGATGACTCCTGTCTCCAAAAAGTATGATTTGGCTCTAAGTCTATAAATTCTGTGCTCAGTTCCTGGATAGATGAGATCTGCTGGTGTGACACATTTCCTTGTATTCCCCTCTCTTCCCATAATGAGAGGGAAACCTCCCTTTCCACATCATTTCCTATAACTGTTTTTCCTTGGTCTCAGAACAGATTGATCAGCTATAGGATCCAAGACCAGCTTTGTGTCCACCCTGCTCAGGCTTTCTAGAAATTACTTTGTTCCGGTGTGGATCACCCAGACTGTGGCATAACTGGAAACTTCAGGGTTTATTAATTTTCATTTTCAGTGATAAGTGATTTTTAAAGGAATAATTGTTTCCAGATGTCATGCATGTTTTGCTCTGAAGGAATACTGCAATCTCTGTTAAGGTTACAAAGCTGGAGAGATTGTTTTTCCCTATCCAAGTGGTTCTCTCAAGAGGATTTTGGAACATTGTGTCTCCCATATGGACCCTGAAACCCTTTCTTGGTTGCATGACACACTTCATAAAGCTGAAATGTTGAATTTGCATCTGTGATACAATTTTTGGGTTGCTCTGTAGGGAGAACATTTTATTGGGGTCTTAGAGAAAGGCACAGTCAAAACCAGCCAACCCTAGAAGACTTAGATCTCCATTTTCACAGGAGCATCCTCACAGTACATGGAGATACTGATGATGCCAAGTCCTCTCTTGACTTCAGAGTGCAAAGGCTGGAAAAGATAGAAGAACCTGAAGAAGAGGCATAAGTAAAAAATAAAACTGCCACTATGGGCATTCTCAGTAGTGACTAGTTTTAAATGCATTTCTTTAGTCAGATGATTTCTGTGCTTCTACTCTTATAAGATGTGCACACATATACGTACAGAATTTATGTAGCACCAGTGAAGATTAGGTCAGAGCATAGAAGAAATACCATGTTATACCTTATGGGAATCGGTAGTTACATTATCCAGACTCTGAGAGGATGCTCCAAATTACTCCTTACTGCATCTATACTGCATCTGCTTTCAAGAGCCCTGCTCTGTCACACTAGGTAACAAGGGCTCTTGTATCTGTTAACCTAAATTTCCAGTTCCAGAAAACATTATTTCCATAAACATAATTGCTTGTTGAAAGGCAGGTGAGTTCTACACATCTCACACAACACCACCGTGAGCAAGATTCCACATGAGGCCCATGGAAAGAAGGATGGGAAGAGAGCACCTTCTCCAGGACACAAAAAAAGAACCTATTTTGGACACAGGTAGACCAGCTAAAACACTCATACCAACATGAAAATGACTGATGAAGACAGAAGTTGCATTTTGTTGTCTATAAAGTCCTAAAAGTTTGCTTATTTGCAAGGAAACCTTGTATGACACCCAACTACACTTGTAAATTCCTGAAAAATGCTGGGCAGGTGCAAGTGAAATGTGGCAGCTTTGGGGAAAAAAATCAGTAGTTAAGTTGGTAAGAGAAAGCTTTGATAAGACTTAAATGCACTATTTGAACCTTTCTGCAATGGAATGATTAATTTTCTATTTTTGAAAACATTCTTTCAATTCTGTGTAATGCAGAAAATGCATCATTTGATTAGCAAAATCTATTAATTTTTCTTTATGTCTTGTATCAAGAAAAATTTCAAAACTGCAAATGAAATACCCACAAAATTAAAAATGAAGATATCTCTCTGCCTTACAACTAAGAGTAGGTGGTGTTGAAAACTGTCCTAATAACACAGGACAAGACTGACAGGACTAAAAAAAGGGGCTAGGAAAAAAAAAAACAGAGCTAGAAATAAACTGGCCTCTGCATCAGAGCATTCTATAATAGGCAGGAAAATATGTTCCTTTTTCTGCAGAAATAGATTATACAGAACACCATAATTTTGTGTACAACACCTACTTCAAAACAGCCCAAAAAGCTGTAATACCTAAAATAAGAAAATTACCAAACTTATGTCCATGTTCAGCAAAACTCCAAATTTCATTTCAATGCTATATCACATGAATAGTTAGTAAGTACATGCTAAAATATACTGTTAAAGGCAAAGAAACATGGGTCTAACTTCAAGGCTTGCCTGGGTAAGTCAGAAGTACATCCAAGAAAGTTTAATCTGTGTTTAAGAGATTCCTTAAATGGGGATAGTTAATTTTAGTTGAGGGCATTCAAAGCTGAAGCACCACAAAACTTGTGATACTGCTGGGAACAGGCTGTAGCATCCAAATCTGCACCCCTAAAAGCATTTTAAACAATAAACAACTTAAATATTACTGGAGTTTGAGAGATGATATGCTAAGCATTCAACCAATGGATTGTATCAAAGAATTATTGCAGATGGTGGTAGGGACACTTCTCAGCACAAGCTGTCCCTTCACATTTTCCTGTTTTCAGCTGTGTAGAACTTTTTAAAGAAATAGACTTTTTTTTCCTACTAAATGTCTGATGCAATTAGATAACTCTTTCAATCAAAGAAGACCTTGCCATCATTACCAAGACAAGCTTCTGCAATGTACTGTTTTGCCCATGTTAAAGTTGTCCACAATTTACCCAATTTGTTGAAAAGTCCTATTGCTTCCAAAGTATTAAAGCCTGGGAGTGGGATTTGGCATAGACCACCACAATCTAAGAATGCCCTTTTTGGCATCCCCACAAACACTGTCCCAAACCTGACAATGCCATGGTGAAAAGTGATCACAATTCATGCAGGGCCATGAGACCCTTGTCTCAAGGTTCAGGGATAAATCTTCTGACATTCAGCTGCACCAGCATGATGCATAACACTTCTCTGTGTAAACTGACTTTACATTTATTAACTTTATCTGATTATTTAATTTAATCTGATTATTTTCATTTGATATTCCCAAGTGCTCATGTGCTTCAGGTTCTTTAAATTATGCTATGACACCTTATAAAGGTCATCGAACCACCCACAAAGCCTTTACACACAAGTATACGATAACAAATATATAAAAAATCACTGTGCCACCTAAATGTTCCTCTAAATACTTGCATTTTAATTGAAAGCAATATAAAATAAGTATAAGAAATAGACTGCAAAAGGAAAAGAAAAAAAAAAGAGGTTTTTTTTTTTTTCCTTAACAGCCAAAGGGCCCCACATTAAAACAGCCCATGGTGACCACAGCTCACATTTGTGTAACAGGCACTTGCTCTGCATTAGATTTGATTTCACAGGTCCCATAAGCACAAGCAGTGCCAGGAGAAACTATGCTGTGACTCAGTACCAGGGATACACACTGCTTTTGCACATTTTAAGTAATACTAAGTACTTTTTTTATTTGTAGCTGCACTAACAGGTGTTATTGCAGCATCTGGAGTATGTACTATATGAAGATCCAATTCAAATTCATGGTTAGGCTAATTTTAAGTCTCCACTTTAAAACAGAACTAAGCCTTGACAGTGCCCAATCCTGCAACATGGCTAATTTTAAGAGGCTAAAATACTATGAGATCTGATATTTTGCAAGATTTACCATCCACATGCCTTCCAGCTTGAGAAGCAATTCAGAACCACAGTTATGGGCATGAATCCAAGCTTCAAAGATACAACGTGGATTAATCTCTATTTTAATTCCCACTTCTCTTCTGGGTATTACAAAACACTTGTTTCTGGTTTTAAAGCTTCTGACTTTATCACTCTAAATTTGGAGATGATACCTCTTCGTTCATTAATTAAATAAATTAAATACTTAATGACCTTACCTGTCAATTAGCTTTCCTTGCTCTTCTGATTTACATGAAGAAGGCAGCATCGCCCTGCCTAGCCCACATGGATCAGCAGTGCTGACAGCTGGTGAAAAGCAGAGATCACTGTCCTTCAGGGGTGATGTCCCTCTAGGATCTCCTCTCCAGCTGCGACTTTTGGGTCCTCTTCTCTCTGTGCTAGAACATTTCAGAAACTCTCTAAACCTGCATCTGCCAAGGTGGAAGCAGTGATTTGAGCACTGGAAGACTGCCAGGTCAAACCCCTGATGTCATCAATATGCAGACACCTGTTAAAATGAACAACGATGAGTTCTGTATGCTGGCATTCCATGGTCCAGTTTGAGACTGATAAAGCATCTCTAAGTATCCTTTGATAGAGTATAATAGCAGCTTGTTTAGATTGAGTTAGTTTGCAATGGAGATGACACCTTTTTTTATAAGATGCAGGACACAATGGGAGTTGAAATCTCTAGCTTCTAAATTTTTCAGCAACACAGCAGATGAAGTTGTGGAGGACCAGAATAGTTCCAAGAATGTGTCAGTGATTCAGTGCACCATGCTCTGAGAGAACAGACCCCTGGGAAGGATGCATGCCAGTGGTCTGACAACATCTCCAGCCACATAGTAGTGATACGATGTTCATTTTTCTGAGGACCTGGCAGATGACATTTCCAGCCAGGCTCTTTGGATGCTCCTCTGGAGAGGGACGGCTTCTTCTAGAATAGAGGTTTCAGAGCCCAAAAAGGAGCCTTGCTTTAGCTTCCCTGACCTTTTCATCAGCCCTCTGAAAATGTGTCAGGGAAGGAAGCTTCTTTTCCTGACATCATTCATCTACCAAAACCAGTCTCCTGCAGCCTTGCCTGGCCCCAAGGCCAAGAAGCAGGAGCCTCATGGGCATCAACCTGCCCCTAAATCATCCCCTGAGCAAAATCCACTACTGTGAATGGTGATGAGAGCAACCAGGGCAGCAGTGGTAAGCAAATCTGAGACCCCTTAGAGGGCTTTGCCATCAGAAATGTGGAATAGTCTATTTCAGCTGAAAGCGACTTACAATGTTCATCTAATCCAGTTGCCTGAGCAAACAAGATGTCATATTTCTGATATTTTCTCACTTCTAAGTTTCAGAAATTGCAACTATATCTACTAAATCTGTAAATTTGCATATGTTGTTTATTAGATTATTTGCAATCTTTCTCATTGCTGAAGGGTTAAACATGGTGTCCTTATATCCTGATGATTATAAATAATCAAGGACAAAGCAGAACTCTTCACTAAAAGCTACTATAGTATTTTCCAGAACTGATTTCTAATCCTTTCCAGGACAGCTGCACAATTTAATATTTTAAAAAGTGCTGAATCATATTTCACAACTTGCCAGCTGACTTCCAGGACAGAGGGGTGCGTGGTCCTGGCATGGAGGGCACAGCCTCAGCACCAGCCTGTTTGGAGAACCTAGCTCTGCTTGGTGCCAGTGCCTCAAGCAGCAGGGGCTCAGGAAGGACCATTTCCCAGCCCATCCAAAAGGACACAGGGATTTATTGGTCTGGCTACAGGGAGGGAGGGAGTGCTGCAATAGGGACGCTCCTACACAAATTTGGAAATCCCTCTCACAGCTGAGAGGGAAGTGCTGATTGCCAAGGCCAAGGTGGCCACCTCAGCCCCTCTCCTTCATTACGGCTCTGCACCTTCCCCTCCTTGTAGGTCACAGTGAGAGGTGACAATGGGCACTAAGGGAATTAGCTGGCTGAGCTCAAACAAGCAAGTTGGTACACAGTAGGTCCAAAAAGCTGACTTGTAAAAAAAAAAACAACAAAAAACTAGAAAGGTCAAAATAGTGACCCCCCACATCAGAAATGCCTTCCCCTCTGATGGTACAGCCACTGACACATTTTTCCTTCTCTTGCTTTTTCATTTATCTTGTAAATCAATCCATCTACTCTCAAACCAAACATGCAAGTAAATATGAAGTGTTGCGTTCCGCAGCTTCAGGATCATGTCCAGGGAGGCTACAGTTACTGGTAACCAACATGGGACTCAATGAGATGGGCTTCAGCTTGGTTAAACTCAGGAAACCATTTATTCAACACAGGAACTCAGTTTAGATCCAGAGACAGAGAGCCCAGAACAGAGCCAGGGTGGAGTTTAAGGTCAGGGACTAGTAGGGTCACAGCAGGGAAGAAACCCCAGGGGCACAAAACCAATCAGAACACCCTGGACTGCCACCCTAGGAGGGTCTGGGGGTGAGGTAACTCACAGGGCACATCCCCTGAGGCAGAGGAATGGAATTTACTCTTCCCGGGATTTAAAGCCACACCTCTCACTTTAACAATACATATCTGAAACTAAATCTTTGCGTCCCTGGTCGGAGGCACCTCACAATGAAGATTATTAGGAAGCCTTTTTTTTCCCCCTAGAGCAAATTAAACAGCTGGAGGTTACATTTTTTATTATTCACAAGCCATTACCAGGCATAACATAAAGCAGTTGGCTGCACACGCAGCCGTGCAATGTTTCGCTGGGCTGATGCAGCAAAATCAAGGAACTTGTGTCTTGCACCCAGCTGCAAATGCCAGAGAGGCTCCTGAATGCCACTGAATTTGTGGCAACTGTCACACCAGAAGAGCTGATGGAAGTGCAGCGGAAGTACACAATTCGGTCACATTAAACATTGAGAAAATACCACAGGAGTTCCACATGCCAACTACAAGTGAGTGACACTGGAAAACAGCTCCTAGCTGACAAACGCCATCCCAGCATCAGTGCATAATTTCTACTAAAAGTTCACAGATGAAGTCTGTGGTTGCAGAAGTGTGAGCAATCATCCAAACAGAGGGAGTAGTAACATTTTCCCACAAGGCAGAGCAGAGAGACAGGCAAGCACCAAAGACAGGTTTATTCCTCCTGGAAAGCCACCACTACCTCTTGTTCTGGAGGGGCTGGGCACTGCATTCCTTCAGGAGGGTTTCCTTTAGGGCCAGAACAAGATGAAGCAGTGATGCTCACAGCAGAAGTTTCAGACTTGTGTAGGCATTTTTTCCATGTACAGCGATTAGATCTCCTAGCCCTACCACAGGAATAAAAGTGTTTGCAGTGTCTTTATCATTGCATCCACACACTACAAAGTATGTCCCTGGCCAGAGATGGACTGGTGAGAAATGCACAGCCCACTCTGCTTACAGAAAGCCTTTCACATCCTGTCAGCATCACTGAACTGTGTTTAGCTGAGTCTAGTCTTGTAAACCTGAAATCAAAGGTAGTTGTCAGTTGCAAGGTAGCCGTTGTCACAGATAACAGATGCTCCGTTGCACAGTATTTGGTGCTCACCATAAATTGCACTGAAAAGATTTCTATGCCCTTCCCACAAGGGTGATAATTATTTAAAACATTAATAAAAGGGCTCTGTACAGGACAATCCCTATACAGGCAATGCTGCATGGGGAGCAAACAGACTGTAACACATAAACCTCAACCCTGTGAGAAGCCTCAGTCTACATCTTTTTACTCCCATGTATCTTGAAGTTATTGAGTCCACTGATTACAAAAGAATGTTTGATTTTGCCTGTGATCAAACACATACCCGTGATGCAGCAGCAAGCAGTGTACCTCAGGGAAATGTCACACAGTTTTTAGGATGGTGAGTGGGCAGAACAGCTTTCTCAGCACATGAATTAACACCTCAATTCTTTGAAAGTTTCCATTTTTTCCAATTTCTTCACCAGGGTTTTTCAGTAGAAACACTAGTTGTCACGATCAGCAATCCGGTTGCAGTATCTCCTCTGCATGCATCCTCACAGAACATCCCCATGGTTCACTCCCAAACACAAGAGCAAGGCTATTCTTTACACTTTTAGGTCAGCCCTTTAGCACAGGCCAAGAGCAGCATCTCATCCCAAAGGCAGCTGTCAGAAGGGCATGCAGGAAGTAACCTCCTAAGGTATTCCTGCTGCTGCAGTGCCCATGACCAGGGTCTGAGAGCAAAGCCACACTCAGCACACATTAAGAGCCAAACTGAGCACTTAGAGGAAACAACCAACCTCCAAAGTATTTTGAATTGTGAAACTTAGATTAAGTTCCATCCCAGAACAAAGACAGTAAAGTTATGACACCCTCATACATCAGATTTAGTATGTCTGTCATGGCACAAGATTACAACGTCACACTTTCACAGAATGGTTAAGATTGGAAAGAGACCACTGGAAGTCATCTAGTTCCCTGTCAAGCAAGTGTCCCCCAAAGCAGGTTATTGAAGAATGTGTCCAGATAGGTTTTGAATATCTCCAAAGAGAGAGATTCCACAACCTCTCTAGGCAATCTGTTCCAGTGCTTGGTCACCCACACAGTAGAGAAATTCTTACTCATGTTCAGATGGAACTTCTCATACATCAGTTTCTGCCCATTGCCTTTTGTCCTATTGTTGGGCAACACCCAAGCAGAGCATGGTTCCATCCTCTTGGCACTTTCCTTTCAGATACTGACAGACATGGATGAGGTTCTCTCTCTGTCATCTCCTCTCAAGGCTGAACAGACACAGCTCCCTCAGACTGTCCTCATACATGAGATGCTCCACTCCCTTAATCATCTTTATTACCCTCTTGTCCTGAGGAGCCCAGAACTGGACACAGCACTCTAGACACGGCCTCACCAGGGCCGTGAGGGGTCCCCTCCATGCTGGGGAAGGAGGCAGCGGACTGTGTGGGAGCCGGGCGGGCTCTGGCTGTTCCCTCTCGCGGCTGCCGGGCCTTCATCCCCGGGCACAGCCCGGGCCGTGTGGGAGGGCTTGAGGCCGGACCCTCCTCCCGACCCCCACTCCCGGTTACAACACATCGGGCTGTAATAGACGGCTGGGCTTCGGCAGCAGAGAGTGCCATGAAAGAAGAGAAGCAAACTGAAATGCTCCACACCCCCAAGATATGGGGTGGTCTACTGAGAGCAAGAGCTCATCAAAACAGGCCAAGCCTAACCTAGAGGAGACCTGGGACAGAGGAGCTTGCATGTCTGATACATAGCAAAGCAACCGAAAGCCTTAACCAAAAATAATTTAATTAGCTTCTATTTAGCATAACTTTCCCTCCCTTACTCTACATGCCATCCCCAAGACCCCAGCCTGCTTGGGGTTTGTAGAATAATTTTAGGGCTCCATGTTTCTGACCAGATCTCATCTACTGTGACATGTGACAGAACCCAGTGAGTGGAAGGCTCCAACCCACAGATATCCAAGAAAATCTAAGATTTCCTTACTGCTCATGCAGTTTTCTCAGACTGTTTGTCAAAAGTTATTGGTGGCTATTTTTTAAATGGAAAAAGTAGTAAGAAAATAGCTTTGCAGCATATTGGGCTAGCAGATTGTTCAGACACTGTACAGGGACAATAAAGCCTTTAGGATCCTTTAATTGACATATATAATGAATGTAGCTGTCAAACTTTTGTGCAGCGATTTTATTTTGTATTGGCAAGCTATTTCACTGGCTAGGGTTTGCATAAAAGGAACAATTCACATTGTTGTGGTGCTGCTATTTAAAGAGCCTAGAGGACAGTGGCATCAGTATAATATAATTATTAATATTCACATTTCTTTTGAAATACATAATTCTGTATGGAACCTATACTACATGCACATCTTCATGCAGGGGAGAAAGGCATTGTTCTGCAGTGAGAAGAGGGCCTGGAGCTGCTGGGAGTTGTTCATTCACTGATTCATTATGTAGCCTTTGAAAAGGCACTTAGTCACTCTGCAGTTTAATGTTTCTCTCTGTGGAGCAGAGAATAACGCCTCAACACAAACTGCAATCACGCTTATCAGTGAGAGTAGCAGAGGTCACAGAGCCAGCATGGGGTCAAGGGGCTGCTCTGAGCAGCCCTTGTGTGCACTAAGCCCAGGACAGCTGTGCTCTTCTGAAACAGCTTCTTTTTCCTACCAGAGCAGTGGCAGGGTCAGCTTGGGCTATTGAAGACAGCAGTTGCTGCTCACCAACTACCTTTCTTTGGTTATGAACAATTACTTGCCAAGAAATCACTAGCCTCAGAGAAAACAGGCAGAAAGCTACTGAGAGGGCAAAGCAAAACATAAAGGAGAGGAAGAAAAAAAAAAAATCTACATAAGCAAGGATGACCCTCCCAGTGTATTTGCTTTGGAGTCAAGCCCACAAGTGGGTTGTGTATCTGAAGATGGAAATACAAAGACATGTCCTGTTCCCTGGGGAAAGGTAAGCAACTTCTCAAATTATCTTTACGGGGTATTATTAGCCTCACTCTAATACTGATGTACCCCATGCCCAAAGATGCAGCCCACACACATTGTAACCATAAAAAGAGATACTCACAACTCTGCAGTTCGTAGAAGTGCTGGGCCCATGCTCTGGTACCAGTACATTTTTTAAAAAAAAAAAAAAAAAAAAAAAAAAAAGTCTATGTAGTAACTGAGGGCATGGAAAGGACATGGACAACAAGAACTTGGAAAGAGCGTGAAAATCCAGCTTGGGGTGCTGACGTCAATAGGCACACAATTTCAGAGTGTAACAGGTTTGTTCAATCATTCCTATATTCATTTTCAGTTCCAGAGATAGGAACTCCGTGTCTATCCCCAAATTAATAGTATTGTCTGAGACAAAGCCAACCTGGTATGGCTTGTCAGAGCTTTTCCCAGTCCATCTATGTAATAAAGCATCATATAAAACCAGGAAGCAGAACAGGAGTTTTATGTCCCTGTTACCTGGGTCCTAAAATACAGAGAAAGGAGACAGGGCACAGATCAAAGAATGAAGCCATGTCCCCATTCTCATCACAGCCCTGTAAGGCTTTAACACAAAAGATATAAATATATGGTGAAACATCTAGGGGAGACAGAGGGGCACAGAGGGGTTCTGCAGATGGACTTCAAAGGTGGAAAAAGAGTACCACCAAGCAAAAAAAGTTGACAATACAAATTACTTCAGGCCAAACTCCAATACATAACTATAGATTCCATATATAGATCCAGCCTTAAGCCCAGGAGCAATACAGGTGGGGAGAGAGGAGCCTGAGTGATTGAAACTGCATATTTAAGCAGTTCAGGGTAGCTGAAAATAGCACTGATGCCTCTGGATTTCTGTGTTCATTATTTAAGGTGAACATACAAAACTCAGAGTGCAGGAGCCCAAGGGTGTTCCTCACTGGCTTCCAGCAGACAGTTTCCTAAAAGCAGCACTCGTTAGTTTCCTTGGTTTGCTGACCAGGTGTGCCACCTCCTATCTCTGCTGCCATGGTGCTCAGCCTTCCCCAGTGTCAACAACATGGCATGTTACTCTACTTTGCCAAACTTTAGTACTGAGAATTTCATTCTGAACAGCTCAGCATCTGCTTTAGCCAAAATAGTTCAGCCATTTCCAGGAATACTATTAAAGGAAAAATATACTGCTTGGCACATGTTAAATAAATCCAGGCAACCTTTTATTTGAGGATCTCTAGCTTCAGAAGAGAAATTTTGAAATTTGTCAGAGAAGTGACCTTTGTGGTAGAAATGTGTCTATCCCTATTAAAACCTACCTAAACTTGGCCAGATTACAGAGCAAGGAAATACTACAGTTGAGGACGCAGTAAAGACCTTTTAGAATTGCAGTTACTTTCTGTTTCTGCTGTGGGCAAGAGGTCCCTTTCTCCTGCAGAGCTACAGTTTGCACTCACCCATTACCTTGGCCTTTTGCCTGTACAGTCCTCCTTGGCTGGATGATGAAATTACAGAGCCAAGGGTGAGTGGAGAAACCAGCATTCCATATATTCTCATATTTTTCTGATACTGGACAGCCTCATCTGCCACACAGCCCAGGTTTATTGTCAGCATCATGAGTGCTGAGCAGGTACAAGGACACTGCAGAAAACAAACTGAATAAATCAGGGCAATTACAATACATAGATGCACAGCTGGAAGAATTAATGTCTATCAGACAATGGCATTGCAGACTGTTGTGAGATGCCTCGGGGAGGCAAAGAGTTAGTTTCAGATAACCATTGTTAAAGAAGAGGCATGGCTGTAAGCCATGAGTGTGAATTTTGACCCCCTGTGTTGGAGGATGGGCAGTGCGAGCCCTGGATGAAGTTACCCCACCCCAAACCCCTTGTGAAGGGTGGCCCAGGAGTTCTGATTGGGTTTGAGTCCCTGGGGGTTTCTCCCTTGCTGTGTTTCTAGTGGCCCCTGACCCTGAATTCCACCCTAGTTCTGTTCCCCAAAACCCATCACCCTGCCTTTGTTCAGGGCTGTCTGTTCTGGATCTGAGTTGTTCCCATGCTGAATAATTGGTTTCATGAACAGACGCCTGTCTTGTTCCTGTTCCATGCTGGTCCCAGAACCCTGCGGCTTCCCTGGACATGATCCTGAGGTTGTGGACTGCAACAGCAGACATCCCCAAATAATGAAGACTTGAATGTGCTGTCTCAGTAAAACTCTCTGAATGAGGTTTGTGTGCAGTATAAGGAGAGTTTCTGAAAGAAATATAAATATAGGCCATCATTCTGAAAAACTTCACAACCCCAAGCTCTTACATTCAGGTGCCATCTCACTGACTTTGCTGCAAAATTAAGGCCATTCATGTTAAAAGCAAAGACAAGAACATCTGCTCAAACTGATGTGTTTTAACTGTATTAGTTAATTATCCAGACAATTCTTCTTATGTCATGGAAATGCAGTTTGGACACTGGCAGATAAATGCTCTTGCATTAAATAGGGAGAAATCAGTATTTGCTGTTGTGTCTTTGGCATGAATGGGAGTGACATGAGTAGGTGGGCTGCAGGCTCTCATTCATCTCGTACAAATAGGGATTAAGAGGATTTACAGGTTTACAGTGAAAGCACTCACCTGATTGATAGTTGCAACATTTCAGTAATTTTTCAGTCCTATCTTATGGAAAAAGGACAAAGCCAACCAACTTCCACTTAGACCATGCTATTCCTTCAAGGATATACAGCCCAGCACATCAAGGAAACAGTTTCAAGACAAGGAAAAAGATCTATGGAGGAATCACTCGAAGCAACCATTAATAAAAAAAAAGGTCCCACCTTTCCCACAAGGGTATCTTCCCAATCTTCAGCATTCTATGTAGTCCTTTTGTGTATCCACGTGTGGGATCTCAGGACTCATGTCCATATACCAAGAACTGGCATGTCATCATCATCCTAGAGAATGATTTCAGTTCATGAAGTGCTGCTAGGAGAAGGATTATAATTCTTCTCGCCAAAAGACTTGCTAGGCTACAAAGGAGAGTACAAGGAAAAGTTAAGTTCTTTGTTCAGGATACATACACTATCCCCTTTCCTCACCCATAAAGCAGGAGCAGCACAGAACTTATATAAATATACAGAAGTTCTATATCTATATATAGATTATATACTTCAGGATAGATAGACAGATAGACAGATAGATAGACAGATAGATAGACAGATAGATAGATAGATAGATAGATAGATAGATAGATAGATAGATAGATCTCTGTATTATTATATACATGCTTCAGGCCTGGTTAAAGCATGGTGCAGAGCAGAGGGAATTTGTGGGGCTTTAGTTCCATGGGAGAAGGAAACCATACCTGCTACAGAAGGTAGAGTGTCCATGCAGACTGCAAAAGGCACTCAACAATTTTGGTTTGTCACTCAAGTGCTTTGCTAATGATTCACCCTGAACAACCAGGCAAGGAAGAAGTGAGCTTGTCCTCCTTAAGTCCTTCTTAATTGGCATTGGCTGCATTAAGAAGAAAAAGCTCAATGTGGAGCCAGTGCAAGGGGGAAACTTCCCGCCTGCAGTGCTGCAGGATGCTCTTCCCATGAGCAGGAGCCAGGATTATGCATCACAACAGCAGGTATGGCTGGAACAGGTATGGGCCAACCCAGCCACACATGGACCTTGTATTACATTTTTCATTAGTAGAACCCATAACCTTTACATAGTAGTTGCCTCCCAAATGAAGAAAATGCAACATAAAAAGCATTTGGGTGACTTCCTGATGGGTGACTGCAGAGCCACAGGCTCTTCTAAGCTCTTCCACACCCCCAGGTTTGGAGTGCCTGCAAAATCCTTTTTTTCCTCTTATGTCTCTGAATGGTTCAGGCAGCATGGCTAGCCATTTTGAGGGGATTTCAACAAAATTACACGCTTGATGATTACATGTTTTTGCCTACGAGACAACTTTGATACGCTTTGTGAAACACATGCTTTCATGGAAATCTGAGAAGGAAAACCACATAACCAAGAACAGTAAAATATTGTTCTGTTTGGAACAGACAACTTTAACAAGACTGTTTTAATGGGAAGATTTGGTAGATATTTTTAAATGTTGGCAGCTGTTTTTGCTAAACAAAATTTTATTAAATCATTCATTGCATAGATTGCTAATTGCAAAAACCCATTATTTGAGACCCAACAAATACCATTCTAATGTTAAGAGAAATCCCTTGACTTCCATGTGCAGGTTTGGAGACTGTGATACAAGGTCAAGCCATTTGTGTGTGTAAAGACTCCCTAATACTTAATTTTTCCAGGTGCCACTTGGTGCCACTTGGCTATTTGAAGGACAACTTGAGTTATTCAATGCTTCAACAAAGGACTGCACAGAATGACCATGTTCTTCTTCCCTTCTAAGAGTTACATAAGCAGATTATGATAGATTGGCATTTAAGAAAACAAAGAGAAACACCTAAGGAAGTTAAAATTGCTGGAGGTGAATGGGAGTTTTTCTCCCAGACAACAGCTGGCCATTTCTAAGAATTGACAGCAGTTTTGACCATTGAAAAGTGAGATCAACCTCTGAACACCACTTTAAGACCTAAGCCTGGGAATTTCTTTGTCTCTTTGTTTTCTGGCTGTGAAAGGTAACTGAGCTCCAGCTGGCTTCCCGTCCCCTGCCCAGGCCATGTGGCCCGGGCCAGGTCTGGGCTGGGCCTGCTGCAGCTCCCGGCCGGGAGATGGGGCCTGCAGGGCTTGCCCCAGGCCCTGGCCGGGCCAGGCCGGTCCCTGGCTTGGCTGCAGTTTTTGCTGTGACTGAATTCACCAGAGACTGACGAGTAAAGAAAGAAAAAAGCTCTTGACCTGCGGCGGGCTGAGACAGTGACCACACTCTCCAGAGCAGCCATGAAGAATCTTCCATTGAAGACAGCTCCAGCCGCTGCTCTGGCAGAGATCACAGAACCATCTACAAAGCCTGGGCAAGATTTTAACTCTTTGATTATCCAGATGAGACTTGCAGATTAATCCTTTTTTTTCCAGAGAGAGAAAGAGAGAGTAATCAACATGTAAAGAGACTTTATAAAGTATCAGAGACAGTAAAGAAAAGAATTAAGCTTAAAAAGAGGTAGAAAATAAGGAGATTTTTTAATTAAGCTGAAATATTTTTCTGTTAAAGCTATGGAGATGGACAATAGTGTTCTGAAAAAACTCCTGTAATTCATGATAGAGTATATTGGGAGGAATAGAGTAGTTCAAAGTGTGAATTTTGAGCAAAAAGTAAAGTAGTTGTGATACAGTGAGGTGCTGGAACAGAGGGGAAGAAGTAATAGTCGAAGATTTGGGGCTGCTTGAAGCAAAGAGAAAACTTCTGTTTCCAGTAGAGCTCACAGAGACAGATGAAGAGAACTTTAGCCTTTGAATAACTCATCCTTAAAAATGACATCTCTAGACTCATTGACCCATATACACCTCAGAGTGATGTGAAATGGGAGGAGACACCCGATGACAGATTTTTCTGGGCAGCTGGCATCAGAAAAGTAGAAAGCTATAACAGAAATAGTTTTCTTGGAAGAAACTCCATAGATTAGCAGAAGAAGAATTCTGTTTCTCTACAAAGACTGATGAAAAGACTCTAGCAAGAATTGGGACTGTTTTAGGCACCAAAGTTTTTTGTCTCTATGTTGTCATGTGAACAAGAGAATGGTTGTGTAGTGAGAGAAAAAGGGGTTTTCTGGAAGTTTTATTCTGGTTTTGTTACTCTTGTAGTTTATTAATAAACTTTCTTTATTCCTTTTAAGTTTTAAGCCTGTTTTTCTCTTGCTCTAATCCATATCTTACAGCAAGAAATAAGTAAGTTTTCTAGTAATTTTTTTAGTTACTGCTTTAAAACCACAACACAGATAAATGTTTCTGTGTTCAATAACTAAAATTAAGATTCCCTCTGCCTGTAGCCTCCTTCAAGAATATCACTGTTCTGCTTGAGAAACCACATCCTGTTCTGCATCCTATGTGGATTCATTTTGTCAATCGAGAGACATCAAGCTCAGCAACCTTCCAGGACTGCTGATAATCTCTTAAGAGTCCACAGTAAACATTTCTTTATGGACTGGATCAGATTTGTTGAACTATACAATTTCACACCACCCAGGAAAGTGTATGGGACTGGCTTTGTAACTAATGCAGATGCAGGAGTCAACTTATGGGCCAGCTATAATTTTTTCTAGAGAATGCCGAGTGTATCTCTTTCCCACTCAGAGCTATTGTTCCATGTTTTCCCAGGACCTCGGGGTGTGTCCAGGAGTGACTGGAACCCCTATACAATAAATCTACTCAGGCTTACTAGGAAACTGGAAATCCAAGGTACATATATGCTATAGTCCATGTAACCTGCTACTACTAAGGGTATTCTAAAGTTTTTGGTAAGTCTTACTCCAGATATTGCTCATGGCTGCACAGTGGATTTACCCAAGTCTGATCCTGCTGGAAAACCATCCCACTCAGTTGGTACAATACACACATAACAATCAAAGACCTCCCAAAGCATCAGATAACCCACACAGCACCTCAGCCATGTTCCCATCTTAGGCAAGGGAGATTAGACATTTCTTGGACAAAGTCCTGTATTTGTAAGTTCAAATACATACTACAGGCAGTAGTAGCACTACAGACTGCATTTGCAGACCCAGCTCCTTGAGACACCTTCAAACAGCTCTCTCCCCATCTCCTGCATGCCTCAGTACATAAAGAAATCAGACCCAAGTGCCTGATTTCTCAGTATGGCCAGTTGATATGCAAAGAGCCAGTGCTTTGCCACCAAGCACCTCTCAGAGCAGACCATGAGCAGCTGACCTCCAGAAAAGCTGACACAGACAGATCCCCTGCATCTCACCACACTTCACTTAGAGGATGTCTCATGGCTGCTTTGACTTGAAGGCAACCTTCACCCCACCTGATGAGACCAGCAGTAGGCTGAGGACCAGGCTCACGGCCAAAGCCTGTGCAAACATCTGCTAGGAATGAGTCAAACGGCCTTTTGCTATGGAAAAGAAGTCTGATTTTGAAATCTGCCCTAGAGATCAGTAGCAGAGGTTGCCTTCTATGCACAGGCTGAGGCATCGCATCACGAGCAGTCTCAGCTGAACATGCCTATTTATGGTAGCAAGCTAAAGGTGCTATGAGTCAGGTGCCTGAACAGGAATCTCTAATTATACCTTCCAGCTACATGTAATATGTAAATATGCTATGTGGGCAGGAATGTATTTAATAGGAAGGCATTTATTTCAATTATTTTAAAGGTATTTTAAAAATATTTAAGTATATGAACTTAATTTGCAGCATGGCAAAAACTGTTGTGAAGAGAGCTGGAAGTGAGTAAACTCCTTACCCGCCTCTCTCCTACAGTCCACTCAGCAAGATGACATGAATGTCACTTTTCTGCCTCAGTTTCTTTATTTTTTACAGCCACACCAGACAACACTGAGCTATTTAATAAACTGATCTGAGTTTTTCAGATGGAAAGGAATTCATAAAGCCTTGTATGATTTATAACAATGTAATACAAGAGCATTTAAACTTCTGACAAAGTGGACAAATTCCTGGATTTCTTGGTTGATGTTTATAGCAAATTAATCTACTAGGAAAAATGCTGAAGTGACAGCAAAAAGAAGCAGAGAAAAGAAGCACAAGGCAGTGAGCAGCAACAGTGGGAAGGCTCCCCACGCTAGCATGTGCCCTCAGGAGAAGGTCCAGGACGACACACACGCTCTTGTCTGCTATGCTCTGGGATGAGACCACCATATATGCCCATCCCTGGTCAGGCCACTGCTCCTTGGGGACAGCCTGCTCCTCTGCTCCCAGCTCTGACCTGGGAGCCTTCAATGTAGTATATGCCTATGCAAACTGCAGGAAAACCATCTAAAATGGCCACAACATAGCTGTGTTGTCTGGCCACAACAACATGTCTGACCAGAAGAGGACTTCCCAATAATGTAGCAGAAGATACTCAGAAGTATTGCAGAATCATCTCTGTAAGAGCAGTTTGAACCCAAGGGATGGACAGTGACTCATGGTGTCCATTGCACAGCTGGAGCATATACAATTACAGTTATTAAAGTCAGCCAGCTATAAAAACCTGCTGCTTCAAAGTGGGATCTGAGAAACCACAATTATTTCCCGTTCAAACTGTAGAAGAAAAATGTGGTATTTTTTGGTACCAGCATGCAATAGTGTTTGCAACAGCTGTACATGTTCAACTGAAAGGGAAATTATGGGTTTTGACAAATTTAGGTTCCAATATTAAAAGTCTGTACTATAAAATTCATCAGCCATGAATCATATGTTTGTTGTAGATGTGACTTTAAGACCTTCACTGTCAGGGCAGGATTTAGACCTGTGATGTGAAGCTGTGATGTCATCTACCTCCTCCTTTCTAATTTAAAGGGGAAACAAAACTTACTGATAGCATTACAATTTCCTGAAGAATAAAATTAATGTACAAAAGTTGGGAAGCAGCAAAAAAACAACTGTTGAAGTAAATTTCTAAATCAAGCCAAGAGAACCTTTGACAGCAACCATGGCTCAAGGCTCCTACGACACTGAGAGCAGTGAAGCAAAATCTTGTGCTTGACTTTTTTCCTGACACGAATCTGGGAACTCCTTGGATGGGGCTGGCATGAAACCTTTGTGGCAGAATGATCACTCAGAGGCTTACAGCAGACACACTACAGAGAAGAAAACTGTCCCACACCTACTCCATGGATCAGATGGAACTATCATTTCAGAGGATGTATCAAGGGAGAGGATTAAGAGCAAGGAACAATTGCATCTGATGTCCTTGGGCCAGCTAAGCTGCACTGCTTCTTGTCTAGTGGTAACTGCCCCAACATTTTGGGGTTTAGCATTTTTAAATAGTTAAACTGAGGTGTGGCAAGGAGGAATAGCCTTAAATAACAGTTGTGTGCATATGATGCTTTCCAGTATTCTCTGATAGTGAAATGATCTCTTTGGAGGGCTTACTACTTCTTCTACCAGCCCAAAAATTTGGCTAGGTACAAGCTGGGCCTTTTTCCCCTATCATATTTGTCCAGATTATACCCTGCTAGAACCACACAGCCAACAAGCAAAGAAAACTTGGAGCTTTTTGTTACAAGGCACCAAGGGGAGGCAAGTTCCCCAGAGCATCATGGTAACAGACTGACTTTGCTGGAGCAATAAAGTCTGCACGCATTCAGCAGTCGCCAGTGCCTGTTAAAGTTTCTCAAAGAAGCTTGGGTGTTTGTGGATTTGAGTTATCTCTGAATTCAGTAAACAGAAGAAAGCTGTTGACAGCATTTATCTCATGTAGCCACCATAAGAGGGCCAATGGAAATCCTACACCAGCACAACACCTCTGCTTACCTCCCCACTTAACAGAATATTTTCTCTTCTACTTCAAAGCATTCAGCCAATCTCTAAGAGTATCTTTTAATTTCATCTGTCAGATTCTGCTCCTTAAGGTATCAAGCCTAGAGACAAATAATTTTTATGTGATAAATTCCGTATTTTCAGGCCTCTCTAGCTTCAGGAGAGACTTTAAAACTCTGCAAATAATGCAGATTATTTAAATTTTTATTTTCTAAAAAAACCTCTCAAATTAGAAAAACACACTATTGAGGATTTTTGTACTCAGAAGTAACAAATGATAGATTAGTCTGACTTCCTTCATTATCACAAGCAAAATATAATGTAAATATGATGCATATTCTGACCATTATCTCTAGCTCTGATAACAGAAAAATTCTTTGATTAATAGACTTCTCTTTATGTTCTATAGCTCAGAACTTTACAGTACTCTCACTAGTTTTAATGTATCTCTTGACACATGATAGACCTTTCAGCTGTTGCCATTAAGGGACATTACTGTTTCATATAATAAATTGGTATAAATAAGAGAGTCCATCCCAAAATGAGTAGTCCCGTTATGAATGGGAATGTGGGTATGTCCCAATTTGCAGTGTAAAACGTTAATGCCATAATGTATACTAATTTGAAACATTAAAAGAACTGTTTCTACAGGTTTTGTCCTATGTATCCATCTAACAGTTTCAGGCTAAGTAAATTCTACATAAATCTTAACAAAACAGAATTTAAAACAAACAAATTAAAAAAAAAATACACAAAACAAACACAAAAACATCCAGGAATGCCAATGACCATGCATCATCATCAGAACAACAGGTCTGGTCTATTTAAATCTCAACAATCGCAATAGGAAAGAAAAGACAGTGAATTACTTACAGTTCGTCTCCATGCCATCTTCAAACAAACAAAAAATCCAAGTTAGTTTTTAAATATGTCTACATTTTTATTTACAATTATACACACAAGGCACACAGACACACAGGACTTTGTTCAACTGACAACACGTGTAAGTGAATCATCACACTCCTTGTTCACACAGCCCATCTTAATCATATCTGAGAAGCTGAAGAGCCTTTCTGTTGCACAAGCAATTGCTGGGATTGTGATCAAAACTCTTTGGGGTGTGTCCTGATACACCAAATATTGGGATATTTGTACAATGGACAGTTACCTGTGATGTCCCTGCAGCTGGTTTCCCTTGCTGGAAGTCAGCACGCTGAACCTTTGGCCATCTTGATATGTCCACAACATGAATTGAGTGTAAGGCTTTTGCCGTGGCCATGTAGGACTGCTTTTGGCACACATGCTCCAGGATGACCACATGTCTCATCCTAAAAGAGTTTGTCTGTAAATATATATATGGGAAACCTGGGAGCAACAGGTAACACTGAAACACTCTCCCAGACTGGTTGCTGAGGACAAAGAGTGAGCTGAGTCAGCCCACGCACAACATGGTAATATGACAGAGAGTGAGCACACAGGCAGTGAAACAGGCCACCAAACAGCACTGAATCCCAAGCCAGATGCAGTAAGCAAGGAATAAAGGAGACTCAAACTTTCTTTCCACAAATACACAACAAGAAATCTCTTATTTGGAGTAATGACCTAATGCCAACATGGAACAAGGCACAGCTGTGTTCCTGGAAGGCCATGGCCTTTACAGAGAGAGGGTCCACTGGAGCAGCTGTTGCTTCACAGTCATACTGTGGGACATTTTGAGGAAAGAGGTGAGCCTGTACTATCTGTGGCCACCTTCCCCATGTTGCAGCTTCCATGCAAACAACATTTAAACACACAGTTCAAAAGCTGCAGTGGGGAGCTGGGGCTGGGGGGGTGCATTCCACACGGTATTCCATGAATCCTTCCCAGCCCCCCACCACACAGGCAGTGTTGCCTAACTCAGTCCACTGTTTCTGAGTCTACCGGCTCAAAGCCCCTCACAATTTTCCCTTAACTGCCCATTTTTTTTGTAAACTCATACTAATTTCTCATCTCACACAACAGCATTTAATCAGGGCAGAATAAAACAGTTGAATCAAGACAAAACACATAAATTATTAAAACCTGCAGCTTCAAATTCTGTATTTGTAGATCTACAACTTCACTTACAGAAAATCACAGGTGATGTGCTGATCCAGGTCTGGATCTTATACAGGAGGAATCCCAGCCTGTCATTTTTAACCCGGATTCCAAAACCTGTTGACCTAAACAGTAGCTGCGATGCAATGATCCTGAAGGGTCACTTCCAACTCAGCACTTCATACTCAATCATATTCCACGATTCTATAACCCACCACACACATGACAAGTACACCTTCTACCTTTCACCTAATGTCTACACTGACCAACAACTGCACAGTAAGTTCTAGGTGGGGACATGACAGGGATACATGTGCACAAGTTAATTAAGCTGTAAAATGAAAATATAGCTTTGGAAGGTCATTCTATACATAAACACATTGTAAGAAAGTTTTAAACTTCTTTTGCATATTTACTTATTAGCTCAAAAACCTTTATGTGAAGGCATTTGCCTAAAGTTTTTTAGTCTTTTCCTCATCCATGCAAAGAGATTGGCTTGGCACAAAGAAACATCCTCCCAAAATACAATTTCAGTAAGCTTAAAATTTTTCAGATAGTTAACCATAGAAAGCATATATCGGTTAAAACACATATGCACGATACACAAGGTCACAACATCATTTTTACAGGAGCAACATCCATTTCCACAGACTCTCCATTTGGTAAACAACCCTGCTATCCCTGGAATCTGAATAAATGATAAGGTGCAGAATTTTGCAGTCCCTAGGGGAGAGGGAAGCAGGGTACTGTTCTGCTGAAAGCTTACCATTCCTGGAAGCCCTTACATCAGCACGCTCCTTGGTAAAGATGCAACCACACTTCCAGGTAGCTGCTTCCATCACCCAGTTCACCAGAGTAGTCCAAGCTTTGCTGAGTGGCATTCTGACCACCTTTAATATTGTCATCCACTCACTTTCATTACAGGTGGTGTCACAAACAGCTCTTCGGTTCCACAACCTTTAGATAAAAGAACTGAACCTGGACTTATATGTGGAAAAACATTCCTAGTTTTTTTTTTTGGGAAAAACTGTAATGAGCACAAACAAAACTCAGTAAAACAGTAAAGCAAGTGCAGAAGGCAATTTTGTCAAGAGAAAAACAGTGCAGGGAGGGCCAGTTAGAAGGGTTTGCATTTCTCACCCTTGTCATCAATTTGACAGCCAGCAGAATGGTTGCTATGGGCTCAGCCATCTGATCTTCGTATATGTCGAATCCAGTTTAAATATTCGCTAAGGAAAGAGGTTTTAAAACAACATATTGAGATGAAAATTAAATGAGAATGAAAGGAAATGTTTCTAAATCCATAGGGTTTCTAACCATTGCAGGATGGAGGAGAAAAACAGTGTTTGAGCAGCAAAGACGGCTACAAACAAACTTTTCACTAAGAAGCTCAGATGTCAGTGTGCCAGAAGGGAAGAACATGTCCCTACAGAGAAGTGATGACTAAACTTGAAGGAGAGAATCTAATTACTTGGCTTAAGCATTCATTGCTGCTGTTAATTAGGGTATCTCCCGACAGAAGAGCAAAGTCATGATTTAACATTGAGGACCATATGACTAAGGGCAATGAATAGAGCTTTGAGTGGAGTTGCTGATTTAAAAGTCTGTGAGAAAGTCTGAAGCATAGTGTTGATCAGTGCCTACTTGATTGTTACTGATTAGTTAATTGCTTAGTTATTTTTGGCAAAACTTGCTGTACCACAAATTATTAGCTATTACTGAGTCAAGCTAAAATGGCCATAGTAAGACTAGACAGTGTCTTGAGAAAACAAGAGGAACACTTTGAAACACTCTGAGGGGGGCAATTATACTGCAGAAATTCTCCTTACACAAAACTGAAGGCAGTTCACTGCTCAGAGTGCAAATTGTTCATGATACAGGTGCAGACATTATCTTTGTAGTCCAGGAAAAGGCAGCCTGAGGAGAGCCCTGTTCCATTAACCAAGGCATATGGGCACAATCTCTTACCTTGCACATAACAAAGATACCAGAAATGGCCCTGTTTGGATGGAGGGATTTGGTCTGTAAGCTTACTCAGGCATGAGCCAAGTCAGAGTCTCTCCTGTCAACCCAAGACTTCTGGCTAAAGGAGGGTAGTAAAAGCTCTCTAACCACAGGACATGGAAAGCAAGTTTGGCCACTAGATCCATCCTCTGCCTGGTCTGAAATGGGGATCAACTCTTTCACCTAAACTCCTCTCTTTCCAGATACAATAGGAACCCCCAAGGAAGCAAAGGAAGACTGAGCCACATTCATAGCTTCAGACCATCTTAGGCTGCTTCACGAGGTAGTACTGGTCCTGGGAGGAGAATAGAACCTTTGTGAAAAAGTTAAAACTGCCAAAAAGCAGGACCCAGGGCAAGCTCTGGAGGGCACCAGTGCCTGTGAAGCAGCAAGTGATGACGTGCTGGAAAGTGACTTCCAAGGCATTCACCAAGAGCTGCAGCCAAGTAGTGCTTCAGGACAGTGCTCAACCTCTCTGGGCAACTGTATCTCTGGAGCTGGTGCCAGTCTTAAATTCCAGCCAGAGATACCAGACACCTGAGAATTTAAGGAGGTCTTAAAGTGACACAGATACCAGACTTGGAAACTTCTTTCGAAGTTTGCGCTGGAACTATTTATAAGCACTTTTCCCGTTCTTTTCTTTTACCCTCCAATATATCAAAACAAACAAACAAGCAAACAAAAATCTAGTTGAGGTGACCCAGCGTATAGATTAAGACTCCTTGAAGTATGGAGTCAAGATGAAGCTAAAATAATTTAAAAAAAAATAAAGCTGAAGATGTTGCTGTTTCTTGCAAACACTTGAGTTAAAACCCTCCTCACAGAATGTTTCCTGCTGGCTTTTTCCTGAACAGCATAAAGACTGGCAGCACTCACCAGACTGATGGTCAGCATTGGCTCCACCACATCTGACACAGTTTAAGCCACAGCCTTCATGCAAAGCCACGCCCATAAAGTCAGGAAAGCAAACCTGCAGTTTAAAAGAAAAGCTGGATAGCTCAGGTTCAAATGGACATTTAGAAGAACAAGGATGAAAGCATATTCCAACCATAAGTACACAACATGTGTGCCAGCCTGGGGGTGGAGTGAAGGAGAGCATTGTCATGAGGCCTGCTAAGGCAGAAAAGTTTTTGGCTGAAGTACCAAGGTGTCCACATGCCCATAGTATGAATGGTTATACAAGCAACTACTTGAAGGGAAAGTCTGTATTTTTTCCTCTTGGCACATGATGAAACTGAAGAAAAATGGTATATAAATAAAACAAGGCACTTCTGTAGTACAGAATTATAACAATCTCAGCAATTCCTCAGCTCATTCCAAGAAATTTTCCTTGCACACTGCTTGTAGGTTTATCAGCCTCATCAGACTGGACACAAAAAATAAAATTACAAAAGCGAGGAGGCGAAAGCCAGTGTCTCCACACTGGAGCTTCTAAGGAGCAAATGCCACTTTATGTTGGAAAACCCAAACTATGGCTTAACAAAGGCTGGGTTAGGCCATAAAGGGCATATGGGACACAGTCCACACCATTGCACACCTGCATATCATGTAGGTCACGTCAGTCATCCCTGAGCAAAAACATTGAAGTGCAAATACACACACCTACCTCAGTCTACTGCTTGCTGAAGGAAGAGTGTAACATACATGATGCTCCTCACTAGACCACAAAGCGTTCCACATATTAATCAAGTATCATTGTTCTTCTTCCACGAAAGTGAAACCTGAGCAGCAATACATCCCACTTACTCCATGTCCAGCCAGTCTGATTCCAAGCAGTTCTTTGTGGCCATGTGAAGTCTCTGTCCCACTCTTGAAATCAAGATAAATTTATGTATTCCTACTAAAGTAAAGATGAGAGCTACAACTAATGCTATTCTGAGGATTAGAAACCCTGTAAATAGCAATTGGTAGCTTTTTAGGAGAAGCTGTGAAAACCCCTACTGAAGGTTTATAACCTTTACTTCCCAGATGCCCCACAACACCTGATGGGATAGTGAACTGAAAACAGTCTCACAAGTAGGTCATGCCAACATTATTTCGTCCACACCCAAGCTATCAGATGTTGGGAAGCTCAGATGTGAAACCACACTAATGTTCCTCACACCACCGGCTGCTTCAGAGGTGAAGTGACAACAAAAAACTTTCTTATGGATTCATTTGTCCAGGTCCTGTGTTCGGTGGCATCAATGTCACTTTCAGCAATCTACTGTGCTTAGAGCACTTGCATTCAATTTAGGTAACCAAATAAATGCTTACTGGACACATAGAAGCCCAAGAAAAACCCTACAGGAACACATTCCCCTCTGCAAAACTTGTGCTGGTATAATAGACATGTTCTTTTCAAGGCCCCTCCTACATTTATTCTATATAATGGCATGTTCTCTTCTAGATACATGCCAAATCACAACAAAATAGCTTTCTAAGATACTCCTAAAATTCCCTTCCCTTGGAAAGTGATGCAGAAGATAGTGATTTTAGGAACTTTAGCTTCAGAACACCTGGTGTTTTGAAACCCTTATGAAATATCACTGTGCCTGTATTTTCCTTAGCTAAATACATAAAATACTTAATATAATATTAGGATATCTGCCGTAAGTTTTACAGAATTAGAGCTTAATATTTCAAACCCACCACTTCAACAGGCTAATCAATTTCCATAACTTTCATTTCTTAATTAATTATGGATTTATTTCAGGCGAGTTTAAGACATGTAGCCTTCTCCATGCACCAATGAAGCTAAATCTACAAGGGCAATCTCTATATAAAACAGCCAAAAACACATGGTTTGTTTTCAGGGTTTCAGTTTTCTATTAGTTTACCAGTGATGAGATATAAATACTCCAATGGAGCCTAGACTAAATGTATTTTTAGGAGCAGTGGTCTAGAAAATACATAATTAACAAATTTAGAAGCCCAAAATAGCTCCACAGTGCAGCCCACTTCTTCAGCTTGTGACATGGCTGTTGCTGTGCTCTGCTATAACTGCTCACCAGCAGCATTTTGCTCAGTTTTCATAATTAGCTATAGGGCTTGCACTAATTTGCTTTCAAAGCAGTTCCCATCAGGCACAGAGGAGATACACTCTCAGTTTACAGGATGACATCAACATCTGTTCCTTAGTTTGTGCTCATGGGGGCTGTGCTCTAGAAGACATGTTTGTCACAAAACCATGTCCATAGCCCACAGCTGGAGAGAAGAACACTTTTAAGTGATTTAAGTGAAAACTCACTAAACTAATCGATGCATTTCAAAGAGTGATAAAACTACTGAAGACAAAAACTATCAGTCTGAGGATCTCTTTGCTCAAGTATTTTAGACGAAACAGAAAAGGACTCTGGGTTACTGATTAACTACTTATCTTTCTTGACATGTGCAACTAAATATTTGTAAAACTATGCATTTATAGTATGGACTTAAAATAAACTCATTAAACCCACAACTTTTTGCTCCCAAACAAATATAAAAAGAAAACAATATGGCAGTTTATACCCCGTTTATTAAGACAGAGCCATCTATTACTTAATACACTGGTTGGATAGCCATAAATCACATGAATTTTCTTACTCCATTAAGATGCAAGACAGTTTGGCAACCATATAATGAAGACAAATTAGGCAGGGTGGAGAAACATTTAAGCTGCAGTGCGTTAAAAAACATCTAAGCTGGGGCAACCTAAACCAGCAGTTACACAAGGTGCTGGCATTAGATGACACTTGGCATGGTGTGCTTGCCAGCCAACTCCTCGAGTGCCCAGCAGGCCTGCCAGGCTCCTTCAACTGGAATGTCAGAAAAGGTCCAGGGACCGTCTGGATGCCGCTTTTTTGGACATCTATCAAATAGCGCACCACCAAAGCTACAGTTTCTGTGTAGGGATCGCATAGTTCTTTGTAAAGAATGAAGGCTTCTGGTAAGAGAGTTTATAGTGCAATCTGAATTAATTTGTGCCTACAGTGTCATTATTCATTTTCCCAAAACAGTTTAAATATAATTGTGTAGGAATTTGATATCTCTGTAAAGAAATTACAAAGTAGTGCTTATACAGTTGGTAACTACATAGATTCAATTTTAATAAATATATCTCTTCAAGCTTTTGCAAAACTACAACAAAAGCAAGAAGTGACAAAGCAACCAAGTGCTTCTGCATCTTCCAAACACTATTAAAATTCTCAGGGCTCTAAGGAGTTCAGATACCCTATCACAAAGGAAGCACACGCCCCATGTTCAGTTTAACATCTGCCCAGGGAAGAGTAAAACCTATTTCTGATTCCTCTCTGCAAACGTGCCACCAAGTTACAGCTCCTGCTGAGAAGGCAGAGAGGTTGTTTTACTCCAGACAAGCAAGTTCAGATAAGTTTCTGCTTGTCAGCGTAGCTGTGTGCTTAACATGGAAATTTGTAACACCGCCTGTTATCACACAGTCATACACTTCTTTTCCTAGACAAAAAGGGGTCAAGCACCAGGAGCTTCAGCTCATAAATTCATTGGCCCTAGGGAACCTTGCTGGTAACAGCTGTGGCCTTAATGCAAATTTACAAAGTGAACACTTACTCAGCTCAAAAAGCATACACACAATAGTTACCCTGATAACAACAAATACAGTATCAGGTTAACATCCTGTTGGTAGACAATTTTTTTTAATGGAATATTTTATAAAATCATAAACGGCAATGCTTCATTGAAATAACAGATTTAATTTGCTTCTTGAAACAACTATTCTTAAATCAGTCTGGCAACATGTGAGTAAATTAAGTAAAAGCACCAGATTTCTTTTCAGTTTTTAAATGATTGTAAGGTTTAAGTCATCAAGAGATTGTTGGGATTTTGTTTTTTCTTTTTTAAAGAGTCATGATTTAAGACAGTGACAGGGAAAGATTTCTAAAAAGTATCTTTAGGAGATTCTCATCTCATTGCTAAACATTCATTCTATGTATCTTGACATAAAAACATCAAACCTTTTTCTTTTCAAAGCCCTCATCAGGAGGATTTTCAGTTAAAAAAATACTTAAAATTCAGACATTTACAGTCAACTACATTCAGGAGATACAACTCATGGTCAAGCTAAATGATTCTCTGTACATCAATACTGCAAAAAGGGAGAGCAATTAGCAGTGTTACACCACACTCCATAGGAATTAATAATTTAAAAGCAACTGATTTGATTTCTATTTAAAAATAACAGGTAGGAAAAATCTCCTTTGGTCACAGTCCAGAGACAACTGTTTACGTAAGTGTGACAACAGCAGGAAAAAACATACCAATCAACTGGACATAATATGTAAGTGCAGGTGAAGATCCAAATAAAATAGTCCTTCTAATTGCAAACCATGCCATACACAGAGAGAAAACAGAGAGGATTTTTAGAATTCCAATATATTAATGTTCACCATATTTCAGTACCTTCAAAAAAGACCATGAATGTAAACATGCTTTGAAGCATCTTATTAACATATAAATATACATGTGCCAGATACTGGCAGATTAAGGTTTGGCACATACGTGCTCACTTCAAAACAGAACTTTCACAAAATGAGGCTCAAAAAGCACTTTCATAATATTATATACGAGTTTTAAATGTCTTGCATGGAGAAATGCTTTTTTAGAAAGAATCAACTAAGATTCAGTTCATATTTTTCCATTAAATAGTCTTTCACGATAATTTTGGAAAAAAAAATAACTGTGATGCCTGCAGATACATCTCTCTGGTACTCAGCAACTTCTGACCATGATAACTTCTGTCTTACATTTAATTCTGCAGCAGAGAAAAGCTTTAAGGCATTTTGCAAATATTTTGGCTTATACATGGAGATTGGAGCAAACAGGATTTTTATCACAGAAATTCAGAATCTTTGCGTGTTTCTAAATAGTGCAGAACCTTAAAGTTAAATATGGACTTAAGGATTTGAGTGATATCTATAAGGCTTGACTTCACATTGTCAAACACTACAGATAGACACATTTTTTCACAACTCTGTGCTTCTGATAAGGACTATCATTTTGTAAGCAGCAAGTCTTCAAATGCACATATAAGTACATAAATGCAAAACATTAATTTTTAACTTATTTTCTTCAGAAGTTCCATTCTGACAAGTAAATTACCTATACAAGTGTCTACCTGCCTTACAAGTATTTTCAAGAGTTATGCAATTAAAACTGATAAATACCATAGACCTGATAAAACTGATAAAAAATCCTAAACTCATAGACCCACCTGTATACTCAAAATATACTGTATTTTCCTTTCTCAGATTCCACAGGGATATAAAATATCTTTTATACACAAAACCCTCCTATGGGGTAAGTCCTTTCTATAGCTCTTTCTGCATAAACAAGAATCACCTCAAAAAACTTGACAAGACTGAGGCTCAAAAACTCATCTGTCATGTAACCAAATTACATGATTTGGTTAGACTGGAATAATACAAGTGTACCTTTTTACATTGAATCCTACTGTTAAATTAAAAAAGATAAAGCTGTGGTTTGTGTACCTCTTTAAGACACGTTTAAGATTTTCTAAATGAAACCAGAATGACAGACATAAATGATAAATCAACTACTTGCATTCTCCAGCTACTAGCATTAAAATGCCTTTAGAACTGAAAATGTATTCATTAAGAAATACACTGCAAATGGAATAGTCAACACTCAAGTCCACCAAAATTTAAAAAGCAATTCATTCTAGCATAACCACACTAGCAAATTATTCTGTATATTTCAGTGAAGCAAAGCTTTAAAAAAGTTGTAGAGAAATAGACCATTCCTTTTTTGTGTGTTTTAGGGGAGCGGATCTCTCCATAAAGATTATTTATACAAACGCAAGAGCAAACTTTCTGAGAGAAGAGTTTGGGGTTTTTATTTATTTTTTTTTTCCCCAAAGATTCCATCACATGATTAAAAATCAGATGAATGTGTATTCCTGACCACATTGACAATGTCACAGCTAATTCATGACAAGCAACTGCAACAGGTGTAAATGAAAACAGGTCCCTACACCAGGACAATGCTTGGTTGCAGGCTGACTGTATGACAGTAATATTAAAAGCAAGAATTTAAGTAAACTCATCTGGCATTCAGATTCAACTGAGGGAACAGTGAGAACGACACAGTGAAGGTACACTTAGGTGCAATTTCATGCTGGTGACTTTTTCCTCTTTTTATGCTTAGAGCAGATTTTAAATCAAGAATTGCATATCCAATGACACACACACAATTCAAAACTTAAGAGACCATTAGCACAGTTGTACACAAACTTAGTATTTACATATTTTAAACAAAGTTCCATTTTAACAATTGAAGTCTTTTAACACATGAAAGAAGATAATCTACTACAAAGAATGCATAACGGGATCACAAACTTTCCACAAGCATATAAACACATGTTTTAAAGTGCTTTCTTGGTGCTTCAGATTAACCCCTCATAATATAAGCTTTTATGTAGTGCTGTTCCAGTCATTACAAAATTATTTAAATCATTCCTCTTCAGGTGCATTGTGAGTTCAGGAATAATGACGACACCATTGATGTAAAACTTTTAGGCTCTGCCAACATAAACGTATATATTACTTAGGTTCAGATGAAGTTGTCAAATACTTTGGTTTATCATAGCTTGGGATAAATATTTGATAGAACAAAAATTGCACCTCTCCACTCTTGAGTTTTTGTGGTTTTTTTAAACTAAAAAAATACCCCAACATAAATTGACAGTATTCTTTGGTAAAAACAGGACATTTGACCAGCTTGTGTGTACAAGTATTTATTAAAATAGCCTAAAAGTGAACAAATGCCACTGCTGTACTGTCAATTTAAAGGAATGAGCATTCCTCAGTGGGGAGTATCAAAATACCAACCTTAGCAGTTACTTATATAACAAGCTGAAACACCTTCAGCAACCATTACAGGGGATCAATAATGTTTTAGAACACTTTTTGCTTAACATTTATCCTTTGCATTACAAAAACCTGTAAAATGCTCTATGCCTGCAGACAAGTCCATTACCTTGCAGTGACTACAGAAACGTTATACAGTGGTGTACACTGTCAAGTTACTGTAACAAAAACCAGGAATATGGTGTGCTGACCAACTAGTATTCAGCTGCACAGTACTTGTGCATTACCTATCCTAAATGCTAAGAAAAGCCTATTAAAAATTCATTTAACTGCTACAAGTTACATGAATATATAAAAACAGAGCAGATATACAAGTATAACACTGAACATACTGTACTTTATTAGCACAAAAAGCCAGAACAAGGCACAGCAAGCAGAAAAATACATCAATAGAAAGGTTAGTGTAGCATACAAGAATAACGTTTATTGTACTTGCAGCCAAAATGTTTCCTACCTCGCACAGGTCACTGCCATAGAGAAGTAAGAAATAAAATACTGTAGCAGCTGGTAAAGAAACTAGGGAGCACTCGGAATTGGTACAAAAACATTAAACAGGGGTCAGGGCATTCCAACAAAATTTTAGTGCAAAATATCTAAGACAGAACTCCTTTAAGTTCCGTCTCCAATTAAATAAGCAAACAGAAGTTAGAATCTTGTTTCTAAGTAATCTGTTGAAACTATCATCAGTGCATATTACTTTAAAACATTTTTAAAAGCGCAGATGGAAAGATATTTACAAATAAAGTGTACCAGTACCCTTGAAACCTGACATTTGTTTCAGATATGTCAGATTATACTCTGATTATAATAATTCAACCACTTGTCATGTTCTCCATAAAAATATCAGACAACTTTAAATAATTAAACATTTTTTTCTTGCCACTATTACCTTCCATTGTAACTTACTAGCAGTCAGGCCACCAAAAGTCTGTTTTGGAAAAAACCCACAACCTTGTGTTTCACAGCAGTAATCTAATTCTGTGTCCTGTCACAGAAGCAGCAATTCACACTGGAAGGTATTTTTAACTGTCTGAGACAGTATTACTTTTGCTAACAATGCCACTTAAATCTCCAAGTGTTTGTAACACAATTACAGTACTGAGCAGGCATATTCAAGTCTTAATGATTAGGAAACCTTATACACTGTGAAAAGCACGATTCATCTGTTAGCATCAAAGCACCATTAACTCTTAATGGACTGCTTCTAATGAACTGCTCTTCATTACATGAAAATATTCACTAATATCTGGAAACTTTTTTGTGAGCTAAATTATTGCTCTGAGTAAAGTTTTCAAGAAGAGAATTTTAAAAAAACACTTCAAATATTAGCAAAAATGCCCCTCCAATAAAGCCTTTCTTTAACAGCATTACATGAATGCCTCATGGGAAATGCCTCATAGTTTCTTCATCCAATTACTACAGCTATAAAAGGGAAACAAAATATTTAGAAATTAGCAAAAATATTTTCATTAGGCCTTAATGAAAAACGTGCAGAATTGTCTGCTCATTGTTTCCAAGAGGCATCACAACTTAGTTTGATTAACAGCAGGCAGCATCTGACAGGATACTAACACTCAGCTTAAATAAGATATTGCAGAAAAGCTAGACGTTGTCGGTGCACTTGCTGCAGTTAAACTGTAATACACAAAAAAAAGCATGTTCCAGAAGCTTATTTTGATTTTCATTTACTTTGTTTTTATAGGTTCCCGCTCCAGCCATCGCACCCTGACTTTTTGTTTATAGTGATACTCCTTTAGAAAGTCTTGCAACATTGAGGGTAGAGGAAGGTCATCAATTCCATCATACGTAGTGCACCTGCAGATTACTGCCCGACAGATATACTGCAGACTAAAGGGAAAGGTCCTATTCAGAGATACAGTAAGCAATGGTTCAAAGAACATGCAAGAGCTGGGGTCCTTGTAGTGTTCCAGAAGCCCCGTAACAGTGGAGGAGTGGAACACACAGGGGTCATGGGCATCAAAGCTGAAGTTGTGGTTCCACTGCTCAATGCGTGCGTGCAGTGAGCGATTGTAGCGGCGGAAGCTCACCGAGAAGAGGTAGTCCTCCTGTGCAGAATCCCTGAGCAAAAAAGTGCCTTCGGGTTTACCCTCCAGAAGTGCTTCTGCTTCGTAGCGGTCCATGACGCCCCAGTAACATGGGTTACCTGTGATTTGGAGCAAGTCTGGCACGAGGCAGTGGATGTAATCGATCTGAGTATGCACTTTCCAAGCCCCCTGCCTGCTGATATGGCTGTGGTTCTCTCCTGACATCTGACGCTGCTTCTGTCGGCGCGACTGCAGGCAAAGCGTCGTTGTGTCCTCTTCGGAGTCACAGTTCCCTGGAGGTGTTATGGTTTTGTCCCCAGTCAGCTCAGTCATACCAGGGGCTAACTTTGGTCCCAGTTTATACAATGGATTTACCTGTGCTGTAGCTTCGAAAGTGTGTATTTGGGCATTGGGAGGGGGATCAACCCCTTCTTCAATACTAAGTCTACGTCTCTCTCTGAGCCTGTCTTCTTCATCTTCTGTGGAAACCAAGGAAGGATCAAACGTGTCAAAGAAAGTTGAATGAGGGCTCACAGGCGCTGTGTGTTGTTTAATCAGATGCCACTTTTGGGCCAGATCTGAGCCTGCAGGGAAAGGGCATTTCTCAAGCATTAGTTCAGAGAGATGGATCTTTCTTTTGTTAGAAAACAGAGGCTTGGTCTGTTTGCTGTAAGTTCTCATGGGAAAACACAGCCCAACAGTATCTTGGAGACGCTGTCGCAGAGAACGGCTACCTACTGTCCTGCTGGATACTGCATCCATGTCATGGACTGAGCTCACCCCATACCTTCTCTCCCTCCTCTGCAAACCACTTCGTGCTCTACCAAATCTTTTCTCAGTATCCAGGGAGCTCTGTGTTTTGGTAGAGCAGGAATGCTTCTTCTTCCCACCCCAAGGAGCATGCCGAGAATAAGAGTCCCTTCGAGCAAGCCTGGCCCCTGTGGTGACACATGAGTCATTCTCTTTCTCAATGCTTATTTCAACAATCTGAGGAATTTCTGTGACACAGTTTTGGTTCCGCCTTGCTGAATTCTTTGAAGGACTTAAGCCTAATTGCAAAGCAATGTTTTCTCTCAAAGGGCTGCTGGGTTGTTGAGTCAAGTCAGTTATCTGGATGGCTTTGTCTTTATCAGATGAGCAATTACTGGAGTTCACAACTATACTCTCATTTTGGCTTCCACCCTCATGACTAAAGAGATTCTGGCACCTGTATTTGAAATTGTTCCACATCTTTCCCACTTTATCCATGGATTATGTTATCTAAATTCAAGAGAAGAAATATTAAAATAAAAATATAGTTTTAAAACATGAGGATACATCTTCAGTTACCAATTAAGTTACAGACCCAAGATGACTATTATTAACTGAATGCAATATGTTTTAAAAAATGCCCTAGTCTTTCTAGGGTTATGTGGAAGCAAGATATATAACACCATTTTAATATTTAGAAAAACATCCATATTTTTGAATATTTTCTAAATGAATATTTAGAAAAATCACCACAAATAAAGTGTTTAAGAAACTACAAACATTTAATTTACAAGTAGGCCCTCCTATTTTTCTGTAGGCATGTAGGCAGGTCTGCATAGTTGTATTTGAGGAATAGGAAATACACAGTCTAAAATTCTTCATTTTAGGAAGAATTTTTAAATCATATGTTAAGTATGACTCCCTGATAAGCTTCCAATAAGCAGCAATAAAACAAATCCTGAATAAGAACTGTCCAAGTCACTCCAAACTACGAGAGCAGTTAGTAAAATCCAACAAGTATGCTGCAAATGTCCAGATACACCATGTAACAGCAAAAGCTCCAGCTGCAGACCACATAAATTCCAATATATAGCTTTGCAAGATTAAAAGAATTAGCACAAAAATAGAAGTTTAGGGGGAAAAAAACCATTCATCGTTATTAGATGAGACAATCACTAAAAGCCAATTTTAGAATTATAAAGTCTCTGATACATTAGCATAAGCCATATGAAACAGCCAAAAAAAACCCCACCAGCCAATGGTCTGGCTTTATTACGTGAGATATAAAAGAACGAAAAAGCCCAAGGAGCCTTCCTATCTTTAGTAAGAACACTTAAAAAGAAAGCAGTTCCAGAGATGACAGTGGAGATACACAGATGACAAACACAATGACAGTGAATCATGAAGATACAGTAAAAAGATAAAAACATTAGCAGTGTGTATTCTGAAATTACATCTTTAGAAGCCAAGTTTGATAATTGGAACAAGACTGCCAAAATTAGCCCTAGGACACAGGGAAACAGGCTAATTCTGTACTAAAAAAAGTCAGGCAATGCCAAGCTAAATTAGATCTAATTAAGTTCTGAGAAAAGTGCTAAACTTAAAAGACTAAAATATGTCATTGTCCTGATTTAGGGAAAATTTGGGAGAGAACCACCAAATGGGGTCCCTCCAGGAAACAAATTCAAGAGGCCCCTCCCTCAACTGGTTCGGGAGAAGATTTCCTTGGAGAAAAGTGGAAAAAAACTGTTTATTTAACATAAATTGAGTAATACTAAACAAAACCTCTCACTGTTCGATGAGACAGAAAGTCCAGGAAAAAGTCCTTTTCATGTGGTGTAGCTCAGCTCGCTCAGGTTCTTATCAGTCCCTTCAGGGCTGGAAAGTGCCAAGGCCCAGGCCCTGGTGGGCCACAGGTGTGAGCTCCTGGGGATTGTCTGGGTTTTCAGTCCAGTAGGTTTGAACAGATCCAAGTCCAGGGAAACTTCTCTGCCTCAGCTAGCTAAAACCTAACTAAAAGCAAAGGAGAGCTCTGTCCCGCTGTCTGTCCATGCTGCAGACACCACAGTCCAGGAGCAGGATGCGGGGCAGCGAGTGTTTTCCCTCAACACATGACTGGGGATACAAGAATCATAGTCACCCCAGGACAGTCATCTTATCTAATTTAATTCTCTGTGGAAACTGTTCTATTCTTTGGAAACATATTATTGTGCAGCAACACTCCTCCGTTGCTGCACTTGTTTTCTGTTCCTAACTGGAGAGGAATCTGAAGCGGTAACTGAATGGATGGGGGCTCATGACAAGAAGTGGATGATAAACAAGCAGGCGATACTCTGTTCATCCAGAACATGCAAGTCGTTGTAACAGGAGCATTGTTGTAAGCCTATGACTTTATACCAGAATCCACTGAGACTGGGGAAGAGTCAGCTCACACGAGAAACATGAAACACAATGAATGTATAACACCTGACTTTGATAGGAACAAAAAACAAAAGCTTTCTTTCTCATTCTGTCGTCAGATGATCCAGCAAACCCTGCAAGCCAGGTATCCACTGCACTAAATAAGACCTTAAGAATTGAGTGTGAATAAGGGAGCTGCGGAGAAGGGGGAAATCAGGCCTTCAGTCTCTGATGGTTACTGGTACAAGTTACTTACAACACAGTGCTAAGGGCAATCTGCACAGCACCCACATGGTTATTAAGGAGGGAGACACAGACCAATGTTACACACAGAAGATGCCACATGTATACATAAGTTCCATGTATAAATAAAGTTCCAAGTATACATAAAGACTGTAAGGAGATGAGCAAAGAATGTCTTCCTGATTAAAATAAAAAATCCAAAAATTGTTTTTCTTTCTGGTTTGTCTGGATCAAGCTGGGATCAACTACTAAAGTCAGACCACATACAGATTTGCAGGAAGCATCCAACAACACCTATCATGTCATTGCAATGATCATAGCTGTTTGTGGTATCTCAGAATATCCATGCTGACTATGAGGGAGCACATGTTTGCTGGCTGCCAGCCTGTCAACACTATATATATATATATAAGGTTGACTTCTATACTTTTGTCTCAAGTTTTAAGTTTTTTATTCGCTTCCTAGTCAGAGAGCTGTTTAAGATTTTTGGGAAGAGAAAAGAACAAGATACTATATAAACTCTACTCCCTTTGCAAGTCAGGTTAGAAAATGTACACATTTTTGTGACAATGAACTTAGAATTACTCTTCTAACCAATCATATGCTATTCAGTGGTGTCTTTTATTCTGAAACTGCTCTTTATTGCTCTTCCTCTGCGCTACTAGTCTAAAATATCTTAAGACTGTTAGACGGGTGCAAAGTTCTCTAAACATGCCCAAAAAACTTCAAGAACAAATAAAAATCAACAAAACATTCCACCCACAACCCCCCAGCATATTGGCTTGACAGACTGTACTTTTCAAAAGTTAAATTTAAAAGGTTAACTACTTTTTGTCACACTCAAGAGAATAAAGATACCTTTCTTACCCAGAAAAGCAAATGAGTCACTGTGTCTTGTCTTGAGAATATACCTCAATTTGAACTTGCTAGATTCCTTCTTTGACTTGTGGACATGATTACTACAAAGGCAAAAGCAGAAATTTTGTTCATAGTTAGAATATCTTTTCATTTAGACATTTACCATTAGTCACTTATGTAAAAGGAATATTTTACTATTTATTTCTGAAATGTGTCCATGGAACTGCCTGCTTTTTATATATTTTTAGTGCATATTAACAAACAAACAGCTTCACAGAACTTGCTTTTCTTTTATGCATTAACAACATTTGTCGAGTACAGTCATGGGGAGGACTCTGAAATAAGAGTTTTGACAACCAAGAGCAAAGCCACAGTCTGTGGATCATTGAAGTGCCAGGCACAATGCACATAATCAAGCCTATGAAATGGTTTCCCCACATTTTGGTCTCAAGTCCAAAACAGTGGTTCCCAGGTTGTGGCTGGTAGTGCTGTCAGATCACCATATGCTGTCCCTCCTCCTTGTTTCCAGCTGCTACATCACATCAAAAGGCAGCTAAAAATACACACTTTTCTAATATTACTTTTCCAGGTAAGCAACTGCTGTACTCTCTACAAGGATGTTATATGATTGTGAAGCAAGAGCAATATGAACCATGATTCTAAAAATGGGAAAGTGGAATACAAGACAAGTTCTTTATTAAAAGAGTAGGTCAGCACTTCCCTAAAATAATCATCATTGTTTTTCAGAAATCCAAGAGGAGTTGAGGGATTTAATGTGCTCCCACCGCTGTCAGAAATCTAACAGTAACAGAACAGAGGAGAATAATTTGCATCTCCATACTAGATCCAAGCCCAGGAAAGCAGTAAGAAAAATACTGAAATGTGATGCACATGTACTTCAATGAAAATCTACAGGGTTAAGCAATCACTGGTGGATATTCAAAGTTAATATTCCTAGGTTTTTTCCTAGGTTTTCCAGAGCAATGGCAGAAAAGTCCAAGTTTTACTAGTTTCCATTCCCCTCTGGAAGCACTAAAATTGCTGAAACATTTTTAAAGTTAGGCCACACTGTTGCTATTGAGATGCCATAAAAGTAACTTTTTCAGAGAGCAACAGAGTGACAAGTACAAAGTATTTAAACCAAAGATCAAGGCATAAGTACAGTTCTTTTGCAACTGTAACATTTACTCTCATTTCTTTTGTTCTGAATTATGTTCCTAACAAGCCTACAAACACAAGTCAAACGTATTATAATTGGTTCAGTGCAAAACCTTAACAGAGGAAATGCAAGGCAAAGTTTCTAGAATAAGGACTATCCAACTTTAAACAAAACCTTACTTGAAACATCTCATTCAGCCGTCAAAGTTCATCTTTATTCCAAACAAAACCAGCAATGCTGCTTTACTGGGCAAAGGGGCTGCATGTTAACCATTTTAACTCATTAAAAATACAAAAAACCCAAGGATGCTTATCCTGAAGTGTCATGCTTAATGGTACTAGGTTTATATATCCATGTTCTTCTCAGTTCTGCTCAGAAACATGATCAGACAATGCACCACCTATCACCACTGCCAGCCAGCTGACATGGCCTGTTGGACAAACAGCCAGTTGGCTCCAGGAGGAAGTAGCTTCTTTGGGAACCAGCCTTCCCTAATGCAAAACATTAAAGTCAAAGTTCCTTTGAGCAAATTGTCTCAGTTAAACATCTCAGACTTGTATTAGAATAAAACTTCAGTCACTGGTAAAGTATTTAAAATTCAACCTAATGATTTTAAATTACTTTAAATAAATGTGCAACAGATGTGTGATTTCACAGATTTCTTGTGGCAGCACTAAGCTTGACAAAATAAAAATTGTTTCTGAACTGGTTCTAAAGCCAGCTCAGTTTTAAAAAGAAGCACAATCAGTGGTTACTCTAGCCTAAACAGGAAATCAATTTCATTCCATCAAAATCCACAAAGTGAATTCAACCATTTGTAGATTTTCTAAGAAGAAAAAAACCCGATTATTTTTCTAAGAAAAATAAAAAGTTCTACCGATGTTCTTAACACAATCTCTTTTCAACTAAAAATAATTTCTACCTACTTTGAATTGGCATGAATGATCTTAAAAATAACATATAATAAGCACTCTACAGGGATTACAGAAGCCATAAGCAGTAGTACCTTAATGCTATATTTCCATTTGCAGTAAATTTAGAGACCTTCAAAGGCATGAAGCTTGCATGAGTGTAGTCTTCAAGTATTCCGAGTACTAACTGCTGAAACAACAAAGAGATTTTTCAGCAATATGATAAAGCTACAGTTAAAAGTTGTTTGTAATCCTAAAATACCACATATTAACAGATTACTGTGAAAACTCAGACCACTCTTTCCAGAAATGTCACAAGATCTAGCTAGGGCTTTCTGCCTGTGGTTTCATAGGAACACTGTTCAAAGTCACGGCTGTGCTCTGTCTGAAAAGATAATACACTTGTTCTACTCTCACAGTTCACCCAATTTTAAAATTACTCAGTATGGTTGATTATATTCAAAGTATTAACTCCTAACAATGTACCATCTTCACCAAAGATGATAAACTGCACAAAGTATGATACAGAACAGGTTCAAAAAAAAAAAATAACGTACAAGATAATTTACTTCTTGTATTTTTGTAAGATGATAGCTTCAAAACTCTGAAAGATAACAAGGTCAAAACATTGAAGGAATACAAAACCAGACAATTCTTACAAGTCAAAAACCCAGTAACCTGACAGGAGAAGGAAAAGAGGGGAGGGAGAGAAATCAGTTTCTCTGCTCCCTGCACACTGTTTAGTTCAATGTTAGCTGGAGCCAACACAGGCAAACCAGCTACCACATTCCATGACCCTGGTGCATGCCCCCACAGACCATGGAGGTACAAGCAAAAGACTGGAGGGAAACACTGCTTCTATTTGTGTCATTCCTTAAAATTATTTGCTTAGCAGTGACAAGAGACTCTTATTAAAGACATTTGCTTCCATTAAGGGATGCTTGCTGAAGAGGTCACTGTCCTACCTGCATGCTGCCAAATGCCCACTGCAGACTCCTGCTGTGGGGATGGACTGAGGGAGCTGTGCCTGTCAGTGCTCCTCAACCTTTATTCAGTCAAAGTGAGTAAAGGCTGGCAAAACCCTATACATCTGAAGTAACCCACTTGAGGAAGGAAGGGCAATACTAAGGATTACAAAGCAATTTCCTCCCATCCAATGCAGAAATTGGAAATTCCAGAAATAATTAATTACTACTGTAAGACTAGAGATAACATTTCTTAAAAAACAAGGACTTCGTTGGCTTAAGAGGAACCATGCATTTTTCTACACACACAAAAATGTGTACTCACTGCATCACTCTTTGAGCTAACTGCTCACTGGAGTTAGCTCAAAGAGGCCTGGAAGGAAAAGGTGGCTGCTATTCTTTTAACTAGAAAAGGTAAAGGGGCCAAGTGTCTCAAGTGCTCATGAAAACCTTATTAGGATAAAGTACTACTGGTTTTCAAATATTAGGATTTGATAAATTGGAAGTGCAGTTCCATAGGAAGATGAGTACAAAGGTTTGAATCCCCAAACCAAAACTCAAACCTGCCAGGAAAGAGGTAAAGGATACAGAGCTACAATTCCAACAACACAACAAAATTGGCCTAAGTCAGCACTGCAACCAAAAGAAATGGTGTCAGCCTCTTCCTGGCCACCTGTGCTGGTGCAGGAGGTGGTCTGTACACCATATGGCTGCTCAGTCAACCAGCTCAAGGAACCGATCCAGACTAAAATGAATTCTCAGAAAAAGTCTCAATCATTTACTCCATCTGGTTATGACTTCTGTACAAACACTCAAGTTAACACATGGGAGAAGCAGATAAGGAGGGAGGAAGCAGCAGCAGCCAGGGCAACACTGCTTCCTTCCACAGCACTGGTTAGTTCTGCTGAAGTTAAGTTCTTAGACAGCTACTGTGAAGAGAAATCTCTGTTCTCAGCTGTGTGGCTCTGGCTGCAAAGGACTCTACTTAAGATGCTCCTTTGAACACTTGCATTGAAAGTTCAGCCACTGAAAATTTTTACTTCAAAAATAAAATGCTGAATAGGCTTGATGCATTCTGCTAAACCACAAGGAAAGCTGGAAGTTTCAAGGACTTAAACTGGCAGACTGTCAAATCAAAGTAAAATAATATTTTGCCATTGTTCCAAGCTGTAGTAAGAAGCAAACTCCTCCCACTCCTTGGTACAGATTTGCAATGAGAAAAAAGCAGTCTTAGTTTGGACTGCTGATGTTCTGCCAGTTTTTTCTCAAGCAGCTATACATTGATAGCTTCAGTTCAAAAATACTGCTCCAAGACCTTGAACAGTGGAACATTCTTGTAAGCCTCTTACTAGGCTTTGGGGTTCCAAAAGGACAATTTTGGGATTATGTGTGTTCACCCTGGATTGAAATGTACTGTACAGTTGCTATCCAATTCTTTGTTGTTCAGAAAATCTGAAAACCCTGAAGCAGACAAGCCATCAATAGATGAACAGAAAGTTATGGCACTAGACCAAAATGAGAGACAACTGTTTTTTAAATACTCCTTTCCCTCTACTTACACAAGTCTAGTAGGTAATAACACAACTATCACGAACAAAGCTAGTAGTTCTAATTATGTAGGAATTACAGAGCAAACGTGAGTTTCAGATATTAAAACAGAAATAACACTGTACACATTTACCAATAACTCCACATAGATCTCTATGCTAGAAACTGCAAATTCAAAACTGTGGCACACATTAATTCCAAGTCAAGAAACCTTCAAACAATTTAGGCAGTATCCTGATGATGGCCACTCATTTTAACATGTGAATCCACACAAGCAACATTAAATGGAAGCAGTTTCCTTTAAACTACCTTTGTACACCCTAAGCAGGCAATTCAATTTCACCGTAACATTTGAAAAAACAAAAGAATGAACATTAAGTTAGCAAAGTAAAGTATCAGCCATGGAAGAGAACTTTAGGTGACTTAGTGTAGTAGTGATTACCATACTCCTATGTTTAACTCTTCTCACACAGAACCTGACACTATACTTCGTTAAAACTGTGGACAGAATAAATGGTTCCAGTCAGTGTTCAATTTAAGTACAGGAGCCCTCTTGACGACATCTGCCATAAGTACTCTGAGAATAGTTATGGAGCTCTCCCCTAGCAGAGAAGAATTTCTTTCTGCTTCTAAGAACACTAATGAAGCATATCCTCTTCTAAGAAGTTCTAAAATATAAATAGGTCTCAAATTGATATAGAGTGATCTAATGGTTATTTGTATGTAAATCTGAGTTAAGAAAAAGCACACCTTTTCTTTTTTTACCTGAAGCTGTACCTCACTAAAAGGAAAGGAAATTGGAAGCAAAGCAGAAAAGATGAGCCAAATCACATCTCACATTTTTGATTTGCTCAGTAAAAACATCCAATTTAATGTATTTTGTAAACAGAGCATTTCATTCAATTGCAAATGGCCTATTTTCCAAATACAGTCCTCCTGTTCTGGGATCAATTTATACTGATTTAACAGTCCTTTCTTCTCACTACATTTTTCAAAACCTCCACAGCCCGTCTAATGCCTCTCCCTTACCGCTGTACCCATGCCGCCCCTCAGCTTCCGGGCACCTCCTGTACACTGTATACAGAGCTTTTCTCATGTACCCAGGCACTTCCTATGTGTCCTTTTAACCTGACCAAGCAAAAGATCATATTCTCCAACACAAACTAACTACCTGCTACTTCTTATCAACTGATAAAACCAAAGTTGTACTTGTCTTTCTCTAGCAATGTATCTACAATGATGACCACATAGGGAAAAGTATTACTGTCATTCATGCAATTTGCAAGGAAAAAAAAAGCAGTCCTTCTCTCAAATTTAAGTGAAATGGACCCAAAAGTTCAAAACTTTCTAAAACCATAATAACTGAGAAGAGTAACAGCCCAAGCTGTTATCCAGCTACATCTATGCTTTACAGCAAGTAGAAGGTAGCCTGAGATGGACCATTCTAGTAACATAAACTTATAAAGTGATCTTCATAATGACTTAACTCTAATGACTAACTTTAATGACTAACTTGCCAGAAGTTTGGCAAGTAAACTATCACTACAGCACCACTGGAAATCTTTGATCAGCTTCTGTATAGAATATACTTTAATAAAATAGAAGCCTATTTGAATAACTGCAGAATGAGACCAGAGGTTTTAATCTGCAAAGCATCTGGCAAGCAAACAGTTAAAATCCTGCCTAAGACTACCCCCCACAGCTGCTGTCAGCAGTCAGGCTTGTCAAGAGAAGCTCTGGGCCCTCTTGACAAGACTAATTGGCAGCAAGCACCTGGTTCCCCAGGCCCAGCCTGGGGAAGGTAAAATAATATAAACTCTGCAAAGAAGGAGAAGCAGCTGGAAGGCTGCTACTAGGTCTAGCCTATTTCATGTTTTCACTGTAATCCACAGGCAACTTTATCCTAGACTATACCCAGCTACAGCTATCAGAAACATTTCTCTGCAACTTCCCAGTTGAAGGAAACCTGTGCTTTGTGGTTCTGTACCTGCAAGTTCTGCCACTGAGCACCAACCAAGCCTTAGTGTGCAGGGTTCTGCTGCAGCACAGCCAGCTGCAATATCAACACTATCACTAAATTGCAGTGGAACTGAAATTTTGTTTTTCTAATGCCATCAAAAATTCACTTAAAGGTGTTAATATAACTTTAAAATTATGGACTAATTCGCCAGAAAATCAAAACTAAGACTGCTCTGGATATTGTGTACATTGAGCACATAAAGCATGTGTGATGAAAACTTACGAACATAGGAAATTATAGTGTATCTTTAAAGAATCTTAAAAAAAAAGGTTTAAAAAATCCCCAACATTCTGGAAACTAGCTAGAAGTAAGATGCATGAGGAATTTTAAGTGGCATTTCCAGAAAAGTTAAAAGACTTTAAACATATTTTGACTTCTGCTACGAATTATGATTTCAGTGAACATGAAGCTGAAATTCTGCCCTTGGTTTTTCCACATGATTAAAAATCACCATAAAAAACCTTAAAGCATTAGCCTTGCAGGTTCAGCCCCCGAGGTAGGAAGACCTTTCTTAGGAGTAAGGGATAAAAAAAAAAAAAATCCTTAGTTTAACTGAGTTTGTATAACTGAACCAACAAGTGTCTGTCTACTCATATATAAACACACACAAAAAATTATATATATAAAATATGTATAACAGCAATATAGATCAGAATTTTTCTGTTCAAGATAGTGTAAGTATAAACATTAAAAAGTCAGAACTAAATATCTTCAAAGCAAATTGCTCAGAAAATACATTGACAATATCTTGGCAAGTTTCACATTTTATGCGTTTTAGCTTGCTAGTCAAGAATTCTAACAATGCAGAGCAACAAAAAGTTTCCATATCTTAAAACCCTGGAAATTTGGAAGTGTACTTGTAGTATCAGTACGAAAGACACTTCAATCAATAAGCACTAATGCCAAATGATGGTGATTGGGAGAACAAAAGATTGCAGTGGAACCATTTGATAGTCAACCCACTGTTAGTACAGCAAACTCACCCAAAGAGCCACAGAGTGTGCCACTGTGCTCTTACCTGGGCACACCATATGAACAACTGCAACATTCCTTTAACTGCTAATTATGTTACACAGTACCAGGACAATGATCCATTACCAATATCTAAAGAAAAGCAAACCTCAGGGTAATGAGATTTTAAGTTACTGTGCTAGAGTTACTGCTCCAGCAATAACAAAAAAAAAATTGTTTCTCTGCCTGACAGCAAAAGATCCAGCCCTTTGCAACAGCTGCTCTCCATCTGTATTCAAAGACTGCTAATGAGTAAATCTAGAGTATCTCTTCGTCTCTACTCATGAGCTTCATGACTCAGTTTTTTAAAAAAACAACAAACCAAACCAAACAAAAACACCCAACCAAAAAACCCCACCCCAAAACCAAACCAAGACAAATAAACAAAAAACCCCCACCCACACCACATTTTCCTTGTGCCATGCAAGGAATGCCCATGATTCAAAACACAGGATTAAGACGCACCATAGAAGCTTCGAGTCATAATATCTAACCCTTCACATAGTCAGAAATATAAGACTACGACTATATGCACAGGATATACATTACAGAGAGTGAACAATCACTGGTAAGAAAATCAGTTCTTTCCTCTTTAAAGCATCAATTGCTTCAGTCCATTACAACTTAGATTGCTAACTAGATTATTACACCACTATCTTATCTTCAAGGAGCTAGAGTCCATTGTACAGTAAGATGAAACAGGATAGGAAGATTGTCAATATGTGGCTACATTTTTCTTCTTGGTTTTACATAAAGCAATCAGTTAAATAAAAACTACTTGAATGAAATGCTTATTCTAAAAAAGAAGCACCTGTGCATGTTATGTGAGCCCCACAGGATGATAATTTTCTAAGAAAGATATATGTCTTTGGTTATAAATTGTTCTGAAAATAAAATACATAAATGCTTTCTGTTTTGAAATCATCTATCCAATCCAAAAGCTCAGTTCAGTTATGACTAAAGGATTGTTGCAGCAAGACCCTAGCCATGAGTCACTAATCCACTGGCTAGCTAATGGGCATTCTTGTTGGGAAGGATGAAAATTTAACAGAAAATTTTTACAGATATGAATGCTTAGCAGAAGGTTCTCTAGAAATGAAAGAAAGCTTTGATATATAAAAGATGTTTTTAGGGCC